AAATGGAACGAATGAAAAATAAAATAAATAAAAAATTGAAGAAGTATCCTATGTTACACTTACAGGTGACTCCCGTGTTTGGGCTGCACTCAAAAAATAATAATCTTTGTTACGGTCCTAGACTAGCATGGGGCCGCACTCCAACTCAACTCTGTATTTTGAATTGTAAGTTCACCAGTTTAATTCTACATTCCGTTTTAATTTCTGTTCTCCACCTTGTATGCGGTGGCCAAAAGATAAGATATGATTTAGATCAATATTGAAGGAAAGATCTTTTGTAAGACTAACTCTAAATAGGACAGAGGATGAGAGAGCGACAGAAAATCCAGTTCTTAATAATTGTTTTACTTGGACTGGCATCTTTTAGGATCTTCTGATTAAAAACGACAAGATTTTAGAGAAAAAAATCCTCCGTTTGTCAAAAGAAAACAGCGGCATCAGTAAGAAAGGGAGCACCCGGCACTCTGAAATTCAGTGGAAGCGCGCCATCCTGTGGTGGACCCTCCAATCCGTTTTAAACTAGAAATCAGTGTTTCTCAACCTTGACAATTTTAAGGCATGTGGACTTCAACTCCCAGAATTCCACAGCCAGCAATGCTGGCTGTGGAATTCTGGGAGTTGAAGTCCACATGCCTTAAAATTGTCAAGGTTGAGAAACACTGAACTAGATTATCCTGTGAAGTGGAGACTCAAGTCCTTTGGCCCCCTAATGAGAAGGAAGGACTCCCTGGAGAAGAGCCTGATGCTGGGAAAGATGGAGGGCAAGAGAAGAAGAAGGGGACGACAGAGAAGGAGGGGGCTGGATGGAGTCCCTGAAGCAGGAGGCCTGAGCTTAAAGGGACTCCAGAAGATGGGAGAGGACAGGAAGGCCTGGAGGAACATGGTCCATGGGATCACAATGGGTCGGACACGACTTCGCAACTAACAACAACATCCTGTGAAACCTTAACAGGTCTTGCTCAAAAGGCCAACGTATATTATATTAATTTCAATCTGTCCTGTTTTTATTCAGTAATGTTTCATCACTATTTAAAATTTTCCCTGGGAGAAAGAAAGAACAAAATAAATAAAACTAATACAATCCTGGGTTGTATAAACAGAGGCACAGAATCAAGATCACGTGAAGTATTAGTACCGCTTTATAAAGCCCTAGTGAGGCCACACCTCGAATACTGCAGCCAATTTTGGTCACCACATCACAAAAAAGATGCAGCCGTGTGTTGCAGCTGCCAAAAAAGCCAACACAGTGCTGGGCTGCATTAACAGAGGGACAGAATCAAGATCACATGAAGTGTTAATACCACTTTACAAGGCCTTGGTAAGGCCACACTTAGAATACGGCATCCAGTTTTGGTCACCACGATGTAAAAAAGATGCTGAGACTCTAGAAAGAGGAAAACTAGTATGGATGACGTTGAACTTTGGCCTTGGAGAAGCCTCTGAGAATATGGTGGACGGCCAAGAAAACAAACCGGTGGGTCACTGAACGAATCAGTCCTGAATTCTCACCTGAGGCACAAATAACCAGGCTCAAATAATCCTGACTTTGAACAATTTACGCAAAGATTTATCTCTCTGGAAATGCTGGGAAAGGTGGAAGGAAAGAGAAGACGATGACAAACAGCAGTGATAGATTCAGGTAGAGTGGTGGTGGGGGCACCACTAGGAGATAATAATAATAATAATAATAATAATAATAATAATAATAATAACAACAACAACAACAACAACAACAACAACAATAATAATAATAATAATAATAATAATAATAATAATAATAATAATAATAATAATATAAAGTTGGAAGGGACATTGGAGGTCATCTAGTCCAACCTCCTGCTCAGGCAGGAAACCCTAGACCATTTCAGACAAATGGCTGTCCGGTCTCTTCTTAAAAACTTCCAGTGTTTCACTGCTTCTGGAGGCAGGTTGTTCCACTGGTTAATTGTTCTCACTGTCAGGAAGTTTCTCCTTAGTTCTAGGTTGCTTCTCTCCTTGATCAGTTTTCATCCGTTGCTTCTTGTCCTGCCTTCGGGTGCTTTGGAGAACAGCTTGACTCCCTCTTCTTTGGGGCAGCCCCTGAGATACTGGAAGACTGCTATCCTGTCCCCCCTCATCCTTCTCTTCATTAAACTGGATATCCCCAATTCCAGCAACCATTCCTTGTATGTTTCAGCCTCCAGTCCCCTGATCATTTTTGTTGCTCTTCTCTGTACTCTTTCTAGAGTCTCAACATCTTTTTTACATCGTGGTGACCAAAACTGGATGCCGTATTCCAAGTGTGGCCTTACCAAGGCCTTGTAAAGTGGTATTAACACTTCACGTGATCTTGATTCTCTCCCTCTGTTAATGCAGCCCAGCACTGTGTTGGCCTTTTTGGCAGCTGCAGCACACGGCTGGCTCCTATTTAAGGGATCGTCCACTAGGACTCCGAGATCCCTCTCACAGTTGCTACTATTGAGCAAGGTACCCCCTATACTATACCTGCACATTTGGTTTTTCTTGCCTAAATGTAGAACCTTACTTTTTTCACAATTTCATTTTGTTAGATAGCGCCCAAAGTTCAAGTCTGTCCAGATCCTCCTGTATCCTAAGCCTGTCTTCTGGAGTGTTGGCTATTCCTGCCAGCTTGGTGTCGTCTGCAAATTTGATGAGTTCCCCATCTATCCCCTCGTCCAGATCGTTGATGAAGATGTTGAAGCGCACTGGGCCCAGAACAGAGCCCTGGGGTACCCCACTACACACTTCCCTCCATGTAGATGCGGTTCCATTGAGGACCACACACTGAGTACGGCCGGTCAGCCAGCTATGAATCCATCTGGTGGTGATGCTGTCTACCCCACATTTTTCTATCTTGTCAAGTAGTAGGTTGTGATGTACTTTATCAAATGCCTTACTGAAGTCCAAGTAAATTATATCCACAGCATTCCTCTGATCCACTAATTTTGTCACCTGGTCAAAGAATGCAATAAGGTTTGTCTGGCATGATCTTTTTTGACAAACCCATATTGGCTTTTAGTAATGACTTTATTTGCCTGTAGGTGTTTGCTGATTCGTTGTTTGATTATCTTTTCCAGGATCTTCTCAGGTATTGAGGTCAGGCTGATAGGTCTGTAATTTCCTGGGTCTATTTTTTTTCCTTTTTTGAAGATGGGAACTACATCAGCTCTTTTCCAGTCCTCTGGTAGTTCCCCTTTGCTCCAAGATCTTTGAAAAATATAGTTCAGTGGTTCTGAGAACACATCTGCCAGTTCCTTCAGAACCTTGGGATGTAATCCATCTGGTCCTGGCGATTTGAACTCATTTAGGGTGGACAGGTGTTTGCCTATCTTAACGTGTTTCTAATCTGTTTTTTACGGTACTATTTTTGATAAGTTGGACTGTTTTTCCCTTTGTGTAAAGACAGATGCTAAAAATGAGTTGAGTAGTTCTGCTTTCTCCGTTGCTTGTCACCTTCTTGCCACTTTCTCCCTCTAGTGGACCAATCATTTCCTTCACTTTTTTCTTGTTTTTTACATGTTTAAAGAAGCTTTTTTGTTGTTGTTATTTTTGACTTTTGTTGCCTTAGTTCATTTTGAGCCTGAGCTTTCCTCACTTCATTCTTTGCAGGCTCGGGCTATTTGCTGATATTCTGCCTAAGTTATGTGCCCCTCTTTCCATTTTTTATACTTGTCCTTTTTGTCTTTCAATTTATCAGAGTTCTTTATGCAGCCATGCTGGTTTCTTTTAAGAGCTGTTATTTTTGTTCTTCGTTGGTATTGTGCTAGACTGGGCTTTTATAATCTCACTTTTCAAAATTTCCCAAGCTTCTTGAGTTGTTCTCCTCTTGAGGATTCTCATCCATGGAATCCTTCCCAAGTTTGTTGAAATTAGCTCTCTTAAAGTCCAAGACTCTAGTTTGACTGTGTTCTATTGCTTGTGCTTGCATAATATTGAATTCCAATATTGTATGATCACTTCTTCCCAAGGTTCCTGTGGCTTCAACACCTTTTATCATTTCATCTCTGTTAGTGAGAATTAAGTCCAATATGGCTCATCCCCTAGTTCCCTTCTCTACTTTTTGGGAGACAAAGTTGTCTGCTAGGTTTGTCAGGAATCTGATCTTCCACTTGGTTTAGTTTGTCTCCCAGTTGATGTCAGGGTAGTTAAAGTCCCCCATTACTATTGTGATGTGCTTCCTACATACCCTAGTTAACTGACTAGCAAAAAGTTCATCTATTACCTGTTTGGTTGGGTTGCCTATAGTATACACCTATGGCAATGTCATTTTTCCCCTTTTATATTGACCCATATGCATTCAGGACAGTTTTCATCATTGTTGTGCTCTATTTCTGTAGAGATGTAAGTTATTTCTTATGTAGAGAGCAACTCCACCTCCTCTTTTTTGGTCTGTTTCTTTTAAATAATTTAAATCCCTCTAGCTATGTGTTCCATTTGTGGGTTTCATCCCACCAAGTTTCCGTAATAGCAACAATATCATATCTGCCCTCATTTACCTGAATTTCTAATTCACCCTGTTTATTGCTCATACTCTGTGCATTGGTGTATAGACATTTGAGTCCTTTACAACTACAGTAACCCTGTGTTTACTTTCTAAATAACCTGTTTGGTGCCTGAGTTCCCCTATTTTCTCACCACTTGTTTGATTAGTATACTTTGTGTGGCCCTCGCTATTATTTGCTTGATTTTGCTTGACAGCAAGGTTGATAATTCTTGTACACACACACATACGTTACATGATAACCCTATAATTTTTAGATTGCCGGGGACAGGGATGTTCTGTATCAATTAACTCACTGTCCCCATTGTTCAGTTTAAAACTTAACAACTGTTTCGCTTTTGGGCTCAATTGTGGCTATAAGTTGAGGACTACTATATGTCCTTCAGAGATCATCAGAGTGAGAGTCTTCACAGAGAAAATTTTAAAGAAATCCAGACTAAAATCTTCTGAATTCAGTATTATTTAATTTTCTTTAGAAGGCACACTTTAGAAGGCACACTTATTTTGTCAGACTTTATTCCTATGGTTAACAGTAGAGTTTTTCAAGCAAAAATCAGACCCCCGAAGTGTCATTCACGCCAGTGCTAAATTCCGTCAAATTACATGAATTGAAGACAAAAACTAATGGGATGATTTGAAAGGCTGGGAAGCCACACAGATAAAACATCAAACTGTAGGTTCATTTTGGCTCTAATTGTTGACTGCTAAATATTTCTCCAGTAACATATTTTATTAGAAAAATCAAAATTGAATTCAGCAGGAGGTGTAATGGATCAATAAAAAGAATGGACAAATCCACACCATCAAATTGAAGGTTTGTTTGTTACTTTCTCTAAAAAAACAGATTTTAGCCAAGTGCTTCCCTTTAGACTAGATGATTATTAGCAGACCAGGCACAAAAGTAGAATTGTAACTCTCTCTCTTTCATTTCTTCAGTTGGTTGTGTAACAGTTAGCAAAGAATGCAGTGTTAAATTCCCGCAGCCTCCAGCTCGTCCTTCAGGCAGTATTCTGGACGATGACCGCTATGCCTTGGCCACCTCCAATGCAGGCAGAACCCACGGCGTATTTACCTTTACGGCGCCTACAAGAAACCAAGAGAATAGCAATTATGAAAGAGATATTTGAACCTCACAAAAGGTTTTCCCTTGCAATTTAGTCTACATTCCAAATCAGCTGGACCGAAAATGTTATTTGGGATTTATCCACCACTTTGGAATCTAGACCAGCGATCCCCAGCCTTTCTGAATTTGTGGACCAGCGGGGTGCGTGGGGGAGGGGACAGTTCCGTGAGAGCGGCAGGCACGGACACAGCTCCATTTGTGCGAGTAGCAGGTGCAAATGGAGCTTTGCGCACGCTCCCTCCCTTCCACAGCCCACTTCCGAATGGGTCACGGCCTGGTACTATCGGGGACCCCCAATCTACAGGATTCAAAAATAGTGGAGAGCGCATCACTATACCAGTGATGGCGAACCTTTGAGAGACCGAGTGCCCAAACTGCAACCCAAAACCCACTTATGTATCGTCGGGTGCCGGGTGGGTGTGGACCATTGGGTGGGCGTGGCCATTGGGTGGGCGTGGCTTTGGTGGTAACAGCAGACTGGGTGGGACTAAAAAGTTCAATCAATCAATTCCAACTTTGCGAGATCTTTTTTTTTCCCCGTGAGAAGTTGATATTGATTGATTGAACCTTTTTTTTTTGTACATGGCAGTGGAGGCCTAAAGCGAAAAGGTTTTATAAAACCCAGCTGAAGGCCTAGGACTGGGGCGACATCATGCGTGCCCACCGTGCCATAGGTTCGCCACCATGGCCCTATACTATTTCAGACAAATGGCTGTCCAATCGGGGTTTTTTTTTTAAAAAAAAAAACACCCTCCAGTGATGGAGCAGCCACAACTTTAATCATTCCACTGATTAATTGTTCTGATTGTCAGGAAATTTCTATTTCCAGATTGGATGTCTCCTTGATTAGTTTCCATCCTGCCTTAAGCTGCTTTGGAGAATAGGTTGACATCCCTCTTCTTCATGGCAGCCCCTCAACTGGAACCCTGCTATCATGTCCCCCCTGGTCCTTCTCTTCATTAAACTAGACATACCCAATTCCTGCAATCACTGTTCATATGTTTTAGCCTCCAATCCCCTAATCATCTTTGCTGCTCCTCTCTGTACTCTTTCTAGAATCTCAATATCCTTTTTACATCGTGGTGACCAAAACTGGATGCAATATTCCAAGTGTGGCCTTACCAAGGCCTTGTAAAGTGGTATTAACCCTCCACGTGATCTTGAAGCTACATGCTTGAAGTAGGAATACAAAGCGAGCAGCCGTGTTTTTCATCAAAGCATCTATTCTGACTAGCTTACAGGTCTCCAGGATCTCAGCCATAGATTTCCCCCCCCCCCATATTTTTCCCTCCCTGCTATTTTTTGCTGAGCTGCCAAGGAGTAAACATGACATCTTCTGCAAAAAAATAATTGACACAGTCTGTTTTCTACAGCAAAACCACAGTGACTCAGTTATACTCTCTCCAAATATTCTTTCCAGAATGTTAAGGAGAAACACAATAAAAAGTTTTCTTTGTGTATTTATCCACCTCAGTTCATGAACCAGATGACTGGTGATTCTGGAGCCCGAAGCTCCGAGAGGGTGACCCAAAGCGATGGCCCCGCCGTTGACGTTGGTCTTCTTGGGGTCCAGACCCAGAACTTTTTCCACAGATAAGTACTGCGGGGCAAAGGCTTCATTGACCTGGAAACGCATCAGACAGGCACGTTAGAAATATCTCAAACTGGGCTGCTACGACTTGCTGATTAGAATTATCCTCAACACTGGTTCTCATCTCTGAAAAAAGCCACGGGGAACGCAGATTTCCTTGGGGAGAGGAGAGATCAGTCATCAAAATCGTATGTTTAAAAAAACCCCAATCCACCAGGATCATATACTGGGCAGAATTCACCAGAAGTATGGAATCGTTTTCAAGAAAGGCCAAATAGTTGTCTGGTGTAAAGGTACCATTTGTTTAGCAACTGTCTAAATCAGGATGTCTCCAAACTTGGCCCTTTGGTGACTTGTGGACTTCAACTCCCAGAATTCCTCAGCCAGGCAAGCTGGCTGAGGAATTCTGGGAGTTGAGGTCCACAAGTCATCAAAGGGCCAAGTTTGAAGACGTCCTGATTTAGATGCTACAGTTTATGCATTTGCAAATGAAGTTGACTTTGTTAATTAAAAAAAAATACTAGCCAATCCACTATTTCTTATACAATTGAAGTAAGCTGAATTCAAGTGAGTGGAGCTCTTAGATTAAATATATATTACGGAATACTCTGTATTTCTAATTATATCTTTGTAATGAAAATATAATGTGTATGATTTAGATTTAGCTTAGTAGCAAATTATCTACTAATGGCTGCCCAACCTTTGTTTGAAAAGCTCCAGTGATGGAGTCTCCATGTCGCCAAGAGATAAGTTATTCCATAGTCTAACACAGGGGTCTTCCAACTTGGCCCTTTGATGACTTGTGGGCTTCAACTCCCAGAATTCCTCAGCCAGGCACGCGTGCCTGGCTGAGGAATTCTGGGAGTTGAAGCCCACAAGTCATCAAAGGGCCAAGTTGGAAGACCCCCCTTGTCTAAAGTTACCATGGCATTGGAAAATGGACTCACCCTCGGTCCTTGCACGTATGACTGTCACAGCATCCCCCTCGTCACATGATCAAAATTCGAATGCTTGGCAACCAGCCTGTGTTTACGATGGTTGCCGCGTGTTGGGGTCATGTGATCAGCTTTTGGGGCCTTCCAAGCTGGCTTCCAACAAGCAGAGTCAATGGGGGGGAGCTGGATTCGCTTAACGCCTGTTTGATTCGCATAACAACTGCATTGATTTGCTTAAGGACCATGGCAGTAAATGTCACAAAATCCAAGGCAGCTCATTTAACAACCACTTTGGTTAGCAGCAGAAGTTCTGGTCGTTAAGTCGAAGTACTACCTGAAACGTTGACATTATTTTTTAAACTTTTTTTAAATTCCCTGATAAGATCAGGTCGGCTCAGGAAGGCCTCACATCTCTCTCCATGTCACTTTGCATGACGCTGACAGAAGCTGAACTGTGGAGGTTATTTTGCCAGGACTGCAGACAATATTATTTCTAGGCAATTGTTGTGCAAAACCCTCAGATTCTGTCCCAAGGACTACAGAGAAGGCAGAGAAATGCAGGATGTCGGTGGAGATTCTCGGTCATCCAGTTCATACTATGAGACTCAAAGGATTTAATTTTTTTTAAGGCAACTGGACTGTTTTTTCTTTGAGGAAGAAGAAAAGATTTCGCTTACTCATCCAAGAAGCTTCGTCAGAGAAGCAAAATTTCTTCTTCTTCCTCAAAAAAAAACAACAGTCCAGTCGCCTTTTAAAAAAGCACCTTTGAGACAGAGAAATAATAATAATGATAATGATGATGATAATAATACTAATAATAATAATAAAGTTGGAAGGGACCTTGGAGGTCATCTGGTCCAACCCCCTGCTCAGGCAGGAAACCCTATATCATTTCAGACAAATGGCTGTCCAGTTTCTTCTTAAAAACCTCCAGTGTTGGAGCATTCACCGCTTCTGGAGGCAGGTTGTTCCACTGGTGAATTGTTCTCATGGTCAGGAAATGTCTCCTTAGTTCCAGGTTGCTTCTCTCCTTGATTTGTTTCCATCCGTTGCTTCTTGTCCTGCCTTCAGGTGCTCTGGGGAACAGATTGACTCCCTCTTCTTTGGGGCAGTCCCTGAGATACTGGAAGGCTGCCATCCTGTCCCCCCTGCAGGTGTACCAGCCAGGAAAGCTAACTATTAAATCGCTGATCATCTTAAGGATCCGTGCAAGGAAGACCAATTTCACACCCTGTAGGACCTGTCAGCTGCCCTACGGCAACCCCGATTCCAGCGTTTATATGGCAATGGGGAAAACGTAGCCCCAAAGTTTAAAAGCTGCGTTCAAGACCACAACCTTCACGAACTAATATGGGTACACTTGTCACCTACTGAGAGAGACAATTCAGAATTCTTCTTTCCACACTGAATAATTACAGCTAGTCCTTAATTTACAAGTTACGACAGACCCATCCCGAAAAGATGCTTACAACCCAGTTTTGAAGTGACGACGGCTGCAACACCCCTGCAGTCGTTTGTCCTTGTGATCAACTGTGGGGATGCTGCAGCACCCACCCGCCCGCCCCAGCTTTCTCTCCCCCGCTAATAACCCATGCATTTGTTTAACGACTGCGTTTCACCGAGGGTCCATTACCTCAACCAAATCCATGTCTTTCAAAGAAAGGCCAGCTTTCTTGAGGGCTTCCGTAACAGCGGACACGGGACCTGGGTCAGAAGCATACAGGTGTAAGCAAAAGAATGGAAGGGGGCCCATTCCTTAACAGAATAATAAGAGTTCAAAGAGGACCTTGCTGAGCTTCTGGTCCCACCTCCTGCTCAAGCAGGAGACTATAACCTCCATGCTGGACCTCCAACATCTGCCACTGAAGGACAGCTTCCAGCGTGATCCGAGGAAAAACGTCCCGTACGGGAAATATATTTGTTGTCAATGCTGCTAACATCGAATGTTTTTGCTTTGACAACAGTTGGAGATGCAACCATTTTCTTCTTATGTTTTACTCTTAGAGTTAGAGCTAGAGTTAGATGATGCTGGAGGGGTGGGGGAGGAAGGTGCATGAGAGTTTAGCTAGACATAGCAATACTGGGCCTAGTGTGAGAACCAAGGTTATTGAAATAAGAGAGGATAAGAATTGGCCGGGTTGGAGAACTGGAGGGAGAGCCTGCGTTTCAAGCTAATTGGGGAATGTGATTTATGACTGTTAATTGGAGGAGGGAATTGTGCTTTGATACTATGTGCTCAGGGGAGGGGAATCCACTTTTTGGCTTTGTCTATGTACCTGCCGATGCTATGCTACTCAAATAAAGATTATTTAAGGTAAACAATGCCTCAAAGTTCTTTGAAGAGTTTCATCTGTCATGGTTCCGATAGATGAAACCAATTAAAAGAACTTCAAGGCAAAGATTTCTTCCTCAAAGAACATTTTATTTAGGAAACAAAGTATCGGCACTTACATAGTTGAACCCAAGATTAAAGTTCCCTCCCCCAGATCCAAAGTAACAAGTTGCAGTTCCCACCCCAGAAAGGCTGTCATAAATCACATCCACCAATTATTCCAAAACCCGGGTCCTCCTCCCAGCTTCTCAGCCCGCCAAATGACTTGAGTGTCAACTTCAGGATCTGGCCTTATCCATTTCCAAATGAAGCTAGACCAATAGACCGACAACTCTGTAGCTCAGAGCTGACCTGAGGAGTCCTTGGTGCTGTCTGATCTTGGTTGCTAACATCTGTAAGCAAAGAACCAGGTTCAGAAAGCACCAAGACCTCCGCAAAGCTAAATCAGTTTTCACGCTGCTGCCTGCAACCGGGGAATTACGGGGTCTCTTATGCCTGGGATGGGAGAAACTTTGATTGATCGGCAGGAAAGTGTTTGCCTTGTCACTTACCAATGCCCATGATGTTAGGGTCGCATCCAGTTACATGGTAACTAACAATTCTAGCCAAGGGAGAGAGGTTGTGCTTTTTTACGGCATCTTCACTTGCTAAGATCACAGCTCCTGCCCCATCGCTCACGCCCTACAACGGAAGAACACCAGAGATCAAGGCTGGAGGAAATAAAAGTACGATTGAAGAACACACCAGTGGAGACACAGGGAGTCTGAGATGGTAAGGAGATGTTATCAGACAGAGAACGTTCTCCAGCGTGGCCTCTTTTCAGTGTGCCTGTGTTCTGTCCCCGTCTGACACACACACCCAAACAGCCAGCCGAGGGTTAAATAACTTCTCCACACTCCACGCCACAGATAAGAAACTTGGCAGCAGCTCCGTATCTGCCTGCCAAGAACTTTTACTCAGAGAACACAGAAACAAGAAACAATACACACAGTTTGAAATTCAATCCACAGCAAACTACTTCGCCAGAGATTCAGCTTTTGTCCATCACAGAGGTCCAAATGGCCACCACCACCCTTTTATAGCCTGTGGGGTGTGGTCCAGTGACTCAGCTTAATCTCTGGGCACGTCTCCTTTTCTGCTGCGCACGCTTGTCGCACCTACGCTGGCGTGGATCCAGCCACAACGTATCTTCATCACTATCCGACACACCTGGCTCCTGGCCAATCTCAGAAACACCTGGCTCCTGGTCAATCTCTTCTCCGTCGGGAGACACCTGAGGCATTGCCAGAGGGGAGGGTCCTGGAGAGGGAGGCCTGGCCATCTCCTCTCCTTCATGTTCGGAGCCTTCTTCCTCCGATAAGAGGGGCTCACAAGACGGAACCACAACAGCCTGGATGTTGCGCGTACTGACCAGGAATTTCGGGAACTCCAGTTCCCGATCCCTTGGGAAGGGCATAGTTTGAGGAAAGGTGGATGAGGTTATACCGCTGTACCATAAAATTAAAAGTGAAAAATAAAATAAATCCATCAAGTCTCGGGGTAGAGCGTATTGATTAAAATCCTGACACAACTAAAATAAGGAAGTTTCAACAGAAGAGGCCCCGTGCAGCTGAGGGCTGAACTGTGGGGATCTGGCTGCTCTCTGAGCTTGGCGGTTTTCCTGCAGACATTTCATTATCCCACTAGGTAACCTCAAACCTAAAATGAAGGTTTGTTTTATTTAGGCATTTTTAGCCAGTTCTTCAGCCAAGCAGGTTCCAGGACCTGATGCAAACCAAGCCACGTTCTGTGTACAGAAAAAAGAATTCTTCAGCAGCAAAACATGACTGATCTGAGACTTTTGCAATGGGCCTGCCTGATGTATATTCCTAATTACTGCTTCTGATGCAAGGCATTGGAAACACCTAGACCAGGGGTAGTCAATCTTGGCTCTTTTATGACTGGTGGACTTCAACTCCCAGAATTCCTGAGCCAGCATGGGGGGAACTATGGCCCCTTCATGACTGGTGGACTTCAACTCCCAGAATTCCTGAGCCAGCACGGCTCAGCTTGGAAACCTCTCCCTTTCCCCTCAGCATGGCTGGCTGAGGAATTCTGGGAGTTGAAGTCCATAAGTCTTAAAAGGGCCAAGGTTGACTACCCCTGACCTAGACAAAGAAGATTTTTGGAATGGAATTTGGATATTCTTGATTATGGACAAGGTGTTGATATTGGACTATAAACGAAATACAGGCGCTCAAAGCCGTTTTCTTTCAGTGCACCACAATGGATTAAAACATATAAGGAAAGGTTGATGGAACTGGGTCTGTCTAGTTTAATGAAGAGAAGGACAGGGGGAGACAGGATAGCAGCCTTCCAGTATCTCAGGGGCCGCCCCAAAGAAGAGGGAGTCAAGCTATTCTCCAAAGCGCCTGAAGGCCGGACGAGAAGCAACGGGTGGAAACTCATCAAGGAGAGAAGCAACCTGGAACTGAGGAGAAACTTCCTGACAGTGAGAACAATTAACCAGTGGAACAACCTGCCTCCAGAAGCGGTGAATGCGCCAACACTGGAAGTTTTTAAGAAGAGACTGGACAGCCATTTGTCCGAAATGGTATAGGGTTTCCTGCCTGAGCAGGGGGTTGGACTAGATGACCTCCAAGGTCCCCTCCAACTTTATTATTACTATTATATTATTATTATAAAACAACTGGAATACTTCCTCTTGGTATATTAATTTTCTCTCCTGTAGGAATTTGTGGCTGCAGTCCTTCTCTTCATTTCTTTTAGGTAAATTATGGGCAGGGGTCAATAAAGGTCTGTTCCTCTCTGCTATTCTTAAGCGGTGTCTCGTAAATGTCATTACAATTAGTCCCTGACTTGTGGCCGGTTGCTTAATGACTGTTCAAAGTTACAACGGATCTACCTGGGGGGGGGTACTTAAGACACGGCTTCAAAGTTCCGGTGTTCGGGGAGCCTCCCGTGTTCACATGGCTGGACTTTGGGTGCCTGGTCACCTGGCCACGTATACAGTTCCTTGCAGTGTCCCTCGGTGACCTGACTGCGTTTCGTAACCATTTTGCCCAAAACCGGCATTTTCTTCCAGTTTTGGCCAAGCTGGCTCATCGAGAACCATGGGTTTGCTTAATGACCACAGCAAGAAAGCTCATAAAATTGGGCTGGCCCGCTTTACGACCATCAGGACATACAGCCGTAATGAGCAGGCTCCGTTACGGTCGTGACTCAAGGACTATCTGCGCTAGAGGGGATCCCAGCATCGGCTGGACTGCTAGAAACAGTTGTCTCAGCCCAGCTAAAAGGCTCTAATTTGGGGAAGGCTATCGATGTTTTCCAAAGGAATTGCTCAAAATATCCCCGAGACACATTTTTCCCAAATAGTGTCGTATATGCAAAAGCTACAGCTCTGTACAAACACCCTGAAAAGCATTTTTAAGCTGCCTCACACTCCTTCCGCCAAGGAACCTCCGTGTCCAATTGAGGTGTGTCCCCTGGCCTGTTCATTAGGGCGAAGGGGACTCCCTACTGCAGTGGTGGCGAACCTATGGCACGTGTGCCAGAGGCAGCACTCGGAGCCCTCTCTGTGGGCACGCGTGCCGTCGCCCCAGCCCCGCCTCCCCATGGCCCCCTCCTCACCAGCAGACTCCCAGGAGGAGAATCGCCCCCGGGTGCGGCCCACACGGAGCAGTGCAGCCAAGGACATAGCCGGGCAGCAGGGACATGACTCCGCCCTCGCACCCCATAGCCTGCAGATGATGCTGCGGGGTGTGGGCGGAGGGTGTGGCTGCCATGGTGCTGCAGGGATGCCATGATGATCTGCTGCGGGCCATGGAGGCGGTGCAGGTGGGCGGGGTAGGGGGCAGGTGGGGGCGGAGCAGGCAGGGTGGGAGGCGGAGCAGGGGCGGGAGGCGGTTTTTGGGCACTCGGTCTCTAAAAGGTTCGCCATCACTGCCCTACTGGAAGAGTGGTAGCGCTAAGAGCTCAGCAGTTGGACTCTGGCTCCGGCCCAGACTTCTAAAATGACAAAAGAGGAGCTGAATGGAAGACTGCCAAGTGTTTCTGTCATGGTTCCGACTAACAAAACACTTCGAAGAACTTTCAGGCATTGTTTATCCTAAAAAGTCTTTAATCGTGCAACAAAGTGTCGGCACAGCATGGTGGATGCCAAGATCTGAATTCCCCTCCCCTGAGTACATACTATTCAAGCATAATTCCCTCCTTCAATTAGCAGTCATAATTCACCTTCTCCAATCAGTTTGAAGGGCAAAGTAGCCAGCAGTTTCTTATCTTAACTAATCCCCACACCCATTCTTTCTCCTCCCCTCCCAGCATCATCTAATTTAACTCTAAAAGTACCACACAGCTTATGCAGAGAGTGGCTGCCTCTTCCTATTTTGTCAAAGCAAGAACATCCAACGTTAGCAGCGTTGACGGTTTCCTTTCACCTCCTAGAGCAGTGGTGGCGAACCTATGGCACGGGTGGCAGAGGCGGCACTCGGAGCCCTCTCTGGGCACACGTGCCGTTGCCCCAGCCTTGCCTCCCCCCGTGACCCCCTCCTCTCCAGCAGCCCCCCTGGAGGAGAGTCGCCCCCGAGTGTGGCCCACGCAGAGTAGTGCAGCCAAGGACATGGCAGCCAGGCAGCGAAGACAAGACTCTGCCCTCACGCCCCATCATGAAGTTGATGCTGCAGGGCGCGGGCAGAGGGCGTGGCCGCCATAGCGCTGCTGGGCTGCCTGGGCAATCTGCAGCGGGCCCTGGAGGTGGTGAGTGGTCCTGCGGGCAGGCGGGGTGAGGGATGGGGGGCAGAGTGGGGGCGGGGCAGGGGGTGGAGCGGGGGCAGGGCCAGTTTTTGGGCACTCGGTCTCTAAAAGGTTCGCCATCACTGTCCTAGAGGAGGAGGAGGAGGAGGAGGAGGAGGAGGAGGAGGAGGAGGAGGCTCACCGAGGCGTTTCCGGCGGTGACGGTGCCGTCCTTCTTGAAGACCGTAGGCAGTTTCCCCAGTTGCTCCATCGTGGTTTCTGGCCGGGGGTGTTCATCGTGGTCCAGCATCTGTTTGCTTTTCTTAACTTTCACTTCAACGGGGGCCATCTCAGCTTTAAAATAACCTGCTTCGTGAGCTACAAGGGTAAAAAAAAAAAACCAATACCAAAAGGTCACGGAAGGTCCTCTACGACACGTACAAACACAATTCAGCACACAATTTCCACTGCTAAGCAAGGCAGTCGTTAGCTGAGTTTTGCCCCGTTGTACGCTCTTTTCCACCACGGCTGTTAAGCTTAGAATCACCGCAGTTGTTAAGTGAACCATGTGGTCGTTAAACGAATCAAGCTTCCCTCACTGACTTTGCTTGTCAGACTGGGAAGATGGCAGAAAGAGACCTGAACTTTTTCATAATTTTTTTAAAAAAATGTTTTTACTGACCAGCTTTCCACCTCTGTTGGGTCTTGAAGGCGTAGCGGTCACACTCTTCCCTTGTAATGTTGTATTTTGCAGCAAGATTTTCAGCGGTGACGCCCATAGGAGTCTGGATATGGGCATCGGTTAGGCCCGCCCACAACACGTCTTCCAGCTGTCAGGAGGGAAGAAGCAGAACCAGGTTTTAGGCTAGCCACCAAAAGGGGTCTGCACAGTAAGTTATGTCCATCCATGGGTCTGTGAGTTTGCAATCTTCTGGTTCACCTGTTTTTTAATTTCCCAGTTTAGCCAGTAGGCCCAGAACTCCTGGAGGCCTCCCATCCAAATGCAAACCTGATGTCATGTGTCTGATTAACGAAACACTTAAAAGGACTTTCAGCATATTTTTATCCTAAAAGCATTTATTAAGGTTACAGAGATGTCAGTACGGCATGGTGGAAATGCTTAGATCTGGATCCTTTTCCGTTGCACATACATTCCAGGCATTTTTCCCTCCCCTATTTTGGGGTCATGGTTCACATCTTCCAATTAAGTTGGAAGATGTGATTTACTTCCGGTTCCTTTTTCCCGGGCTTTCCTTATTCTCCTCCCCTTTCACTGTTGCCTGATTTAACTATAAAAATACCAGACAGTTCTGCATATTGTCAAAGCAAGAATATACAGTATTTGCAGCGTTGACACCTGGGATATAATAATAATAGTAAAGTTGGAAGGGACCTTGGAGGTCAACTAGTCCAACCCCCAGCTCAGGCAGGAAACCCTATACCATTTCGGACAAATGGCTGTCCAGTCTCTTCTTTAAAACCCTCCAGTGTTGGAGCATTCACAGCTTCTGGAGGCAGGTAGTTCCACTGGTTAATTGTTCTCACTGTCAGGAAGTTTCTCCTTAGTTCTAGGTTGCTTCTCTCCTTGATGAGTTTCCACTAATCAAGCTTGATTCCAGTCAAATATTGCTACAAGGCTGCTAAAGTAAACTGAAAGTCTGAATGCAAATTATTGCACATTCGTTGGTATAATTCTTTACACTAAATACACTATCATCTAATGGGGCAGATTAATTCTCTTTTGTGTGTTTTTATGGATCCGGGGCATAACTCAGGGTTCCTTCAGAAGGGATACTCTGGTTTCAAACAAAGAGCAAAACCAACATGACTGGCGCAAAACACTAACCTTGGGATCAACTCCCAGTTTTATTCCAAAACGTATATTTCGAACGGCAAAAGGTGTCTGGCTCATACTTTCTGTTCCACCACACAGCACCACCTCAGAGTCTTTAAGGCTAATTTCCTGATTTGAGGGGTGAGGGAAAAAAAAAAGCATATTAGATGTGCAATATACATACGAAACACAAAAAGCATTGACTTCTAAACTAGGGGTCCTCAACCTTGGCAACTTTAAGACTTGTGTACTTCAACTCCCAGAATTCCTCAGCCAGCTTTGCTGGCTGAGGAATTCTGGGAGTTGAAGTCCACAAGTCTTAAAGTTGCCAAGGTTGAGGACCCCTATTCTAAAACTATCAGATCATTTCACTTTTCTTTTTATCTTGCTTGAGTAGTCAAAACTTTGTTTTAAATATGTAAATGAAAAGCAGGTGAACAATCTTTGCCTGACCAGATGCAGAATAAGTGTATGCACAAACCTAAATTGCAACTGAAAACACAGGCTGGCTGAGAATAAGGTACAATAAATAACTGGGACCCGCACCTGGCAACCGTTGACGATAGACTGGAAGCCGGATCCACACAATCTGTTGATGGTCAGGGCAGGAGCTGGGACTGGCACTCCCACACGTAAACCAACATGTCGCGCCAGGTAAGCAGCATCTGTAGAACTCTACAAGGAAAAAGAAAGGCAAATTCTGTTTAAGAATTAAAGTTGTATGGTTGAAGGTGAGTTTCCTATCTATTTGTAGAAGTGAATAAATGCAAATCCCGCTCATGGGGAACGTGGGAACAATGTGGCCACTGCAGCTTCACTGCGATTTCAAACAGTCACTGAACATGGTCACTAAATGAGGACTCCTGCACACCTTTCTTTTCCTTAATATTTACACAAGACTGCTAATTTACTCTTTATAAAAAAAAAATGAATGAGCTCAGTTAAATGGTTCCAATAGATGAAACTCTTCAAAAGAACTTCGAGGCATTGTTTACCTTAAAGAATCTTGATTTTGAGTAGCATAACATCGGCACTACATAATCGAAGCCAAAAACTGAATTCCCCTCCCCTGGGCACATAGTATCAAAGCACAATTCCCTCCTCCAATTAACAGTCATAAATCACATTCCCCAATTAGCTTGAAGCGCAGGCTTCGTCTGCAGCTCGCCAATTCTTTATCAGTTCTGGGCTCAATAACCTTGATTCTCACCCTAGGTTTAGTGTTGTTATGTCTAGCTGGACTCTCGTTCACATTCCCTCTTCCCAGCATCATCTAACTCTAAAAGCAAAAGGCAAAAGATGGCTACATTTCCATCTGTTGTCAATGCAAAACATCCGATGTTAGCAGTGTTGACACACTGATTGTTGATTAATGCAAAGGTCAAATAGAAGCTCAGTTGTGAAGAAAAAACACCGCAAGTAGTGCTAGGTGATACAATGACCCCACTGACAATACACAACTAGTCCTCAACTTAGGATCACAACTGAGCCCAAAATTTCTGTTGCTAAATGAGACATATTTTAAGCGAGTTTTGCCCTATTTTATGGCCTTTCTTACCACAGCTGTTAAGTGACCATTGCAGTTGTTAATGACGTGGTTGTTAAATGAATCGCGCTTCCCGCTGACTTGGCTTGTCAGAAGGTTGCAAAAGGGGATCACGTGGCCCCGGGACACTGCGACTGTCATAAATATGAACCAGTGGCCAAGCGTCTGAATTTTGATCACGTGACCCTGGGGATGCTGCAACAGTCATTAAGTGTGAAAAATGCTCCCAAGTCACTTTTTCCAGTGCTGTTGTAACTCTGAACAGTCACTAAATAAACTGTCGTAAGTCAGGGACTTCCTATACTCTACAATGCTAGCGAATTCAGTGACCCATTAAGTGTTCCAAAGGAAACCGTTGGGTAAGTGAGGCTGATGGGACGGGAGACGCTGCGGTGTGTTTCTGATCTCTCTGTCACGGAGCAACTAAGCAAGAGGAGGAAGAGGAGGACCTGCTGGGGCGACTGGCAGCTGCCAAAATGTACCGACCTGCATGACGTTGCCCACAATCACGCTGTCAATGATTTCTGGAGATACTTTGCCAGCAGACAAGGCTGACCGAGCCGCAATCTCTGCGAGGTCCGTTGCCGTGAAATCCTTGAGCAGGCCGCCGTAAGCCCCAAAGGGAGTCCTCTTGGCAGAGACGACGAATATTCCTGGGAGACGAAACACAGGGAACACACGTAGGGAAATAAGAAAGCACTTTTCGAATCTTATTTTAAATCTTACCCTTTTTCGATTCAAATCTTACCCTTGTTTGATTCAGATCACTTTAGCAACTTTAAATCTGTGGACTTCAGTTCTCAGAATTCCCCAATCAGCATGGCTGGTTGGGGGAATCCGGGAGTTGAAGCCTTTGCATCTTAAAGTTGTTCAGGTTCAGAAATACTGATTCAGTTCAATATTTATTTATTTTGTGGATTCCAAGATCAGCTACTGGGCATACAGTCTTCTTAACAATTGAAACAATCAAGAAAACCAGTACAAAAATAAAATGTATTATGGCAGTGTTCCCCAACCTTTTCCTGCTTTGCGGACTGGCAGGGAGGAGGGGAGGGTCCCGCACGAGCGGTGGATGGGCGCATGCACGCAGCTCCATTTGCACAAGCGGCACTTGCCCGCTGCTTCTGCAGCCCAGTTCCGAACGGGCTGCGGCCCAGTACTGGGTTGCAGCCCAGGGGTTGGGGGCCCCTGTATTATGGCATACGGCAAATTTTACCAGTGGCGATTCAACATCCAGGTCCATTCCACAAGAAATCCTGAATTTTTTTTGGTACAGAGTTTAGGTTGCTCGCCAACTCCTAATAAATAAAGTTTGTCTTCTTTTTTGCCAAATTCTTAAATAAGGGGTTATAATGCCACACAAAAGATTAACCTAAAAGATTAGGCCTTCTTGATCTATACTGGATATTATGGTACAGTAGTTAGGTATATGAAAGAGATCCTGAGAAGTTTTGAGAATTTGGGTGCACACAGAGTTTTCAGCTGGCACTGAAATGTGGGGAGTTTCACTGAAATGCCGAGTTAGCATCGAGATGAACCTGCTCCCTCCAGGCACTGGGTAAATCTGCACATCAGCCGCGTACCAAACTATGCTTGGAACTGACCGCTATAAAGAGCTTGCATGGACTTGACTGGTTACACCGGGGTCGGCAATGAGAGACAGTTAAAGGAGGGAAAAGTAGAACTTAGGGATTTTGGCGTACGATTCTCAGTTCTGGCTAGGCCAGTGGTGGCGAACCTATGGCACACGTGCCAGAGGCGGCACTTGGAGCCTTCTCTGTGGGCACACGTGCCATTGCCCCAGCCTCGCCTCCCCCCACGACTCCCTCACCAGCAGCCACCCTGGAGGAGAGTCACCCCTGACCGTGGCCCACGCAGAGCAGCGCAGCCAAGGACATGGCAGCCAGGCAGTGTAAACAAGACTCTGCCCTCACGCCCCATCACGCGCAGTTGATGCTGCGGGGCGCGGGCAGAGGGCGTGGCTGCCATGGCACTGCTGGGCTGCCTGGGTGATCTGCAGCGGGCCCTGGAGGCGGTGAGTGGCCCTGTGGGCAAGCAGGGTGGGGGACAGTGTGGGGGTGGAGCAGGGGCAGGGCAGGGGGTGGAGCGTGGGCGGGGCCAGTGTTTGGGCACTCAGTCTCTAAAAGGTTCGCCATCACTGGGCTAGGCAATGCTGCCATATGCCTGATCTGTAACAAAACGATGCCTTTCTCAACAAAAGGAACCAAGGATCGTTTCTGTTTAGAGGTTCAAGTTGTGGGCAGTCCAGCCTCTGGTTTGATGATTGCTCTTTCAAATTAACTGGGATCTTACTATACAGGTAGTCCTTGCCTAGTACCGGTTGCTTAATGACCAAAGTTACAAACCTCTCCAGGGCTGCTACTTACGACCCAGATTTGAAGTTCTAATACACCCTCATATACACAATTTACGATGGTTTGCCACTCATTATGTAATAAGATGCAAGAGATCCATTGGTCGCATTCTTCCAAAACGGCTAGTTCCTCGGTATATTTAAAATTTAATACTTCAAGTTGTCCTCTTAAAACTCGCCATTCCAAACGGGACAATGTTGGTGATCATTACTTCTCCACGCTTTTTGAAAAGGGAACTTATCCATCTCCCATCAAGAGAGTATTTTGATCAGGGTTCTTTCCAGCTGAGTTAACTGAGCCATACAGGGAATTATTTATTTCAAGTTACATGGAGTTATTTTAGAAGTATAGCATGAATAATAAATGCAGGCCACTTAATTAGAACTAATCAAAGTGAAAATAAGGTCATGGGTGCATTAGGCAGACCAAAGCAAGGAACCAGCTTCTGAATTTTCCAGAAACCTTTCGCTGAATTAGATGGGTTGCTTAATGTCTTTACTAAAAGATCAGCACCAGTTGCCAACTGCTTACTCAGCAAAATTTAAGATCTTGGGGTTAACCTTTAAATCAGGTCTGATAGCTAAAGCAACTGCTTCCTTCATTGTAAATTTGTTCAGCTGGTTAATAACTGCAGGAAATGCTTATCTGGAAGTTGTCTCTATAATCAAAAGTCCAAATCTTTGGCACAAGGCAGGCAGCATTCTCTGGTTTTGTCAGTTGTGTAACTTTCCTAACAGTGTAGGAGTTGACTTCCCCCCCCCCATTCTTTCAGTCTATGGGAAATCTTTAAAGAGACCTGAGATTGTAATACAGAGAGGCTGCCATGCCTCCCAGTTAAGGATTACATCAGGTATTCTGATCCTGAGTTAAAACACCTTATACATCAGATCAGATAAACTCAGATAAAATGATTTCATAACAGAAAAAACATATTTAATCAGAAAGATTACTTGCATTCATGACAGTTGCTTCTGATAATATCTCTGTTCATTCCTATAGGTGAAAGAATGATGCTCTCTCTCCATAGCATCTTTATAGCGTTAAAGCAGGGTCATCTGGTGACATCCGATGGCCCATGCTTCTCTCAGACAAAGGCATTCCAAACTGGCTTGTGTCCAGGAAGTCTCCCAAATGCCCTTTAGAAACTCCTCCCACTGATCTACTAACGTGCTGTAGCTGACTAGCTAAAACTACATTTCCCATAAGCCATCTCTTAAGGAGACAGCACTTAACCCAATAAATGCCAGATATTCTAACATAAAGATACATGCTCTAGTCTAGTCAGAGTTACATAGAGTTACACGATCCAGAACACTCCCCGCTTGGAAATATAAATTTCCACTACTAACTAACTGAAATAAGCAAAAAACATAGCATTAGGCATGCAATACTCATTGTTAACTAACTTGTGACTAAAGAGGTAAAAATATGGTATCAAAACATGCATAACTATAATGTAAATATAAAAACATGCACAATTATAACAGAAATAAGCAAGTGTTATATCAAACAATGCATAAACACAATACATAGTTTGAGGTTCAATCTTCTAGTTCAGTCTTCGTCAGCAACGGGACCAAATCGGTGCTCAGCCTGGTACAAGAGTCTTTGAGTCACGACCTGACTCACGTGTCTTCACAATCTGGACCTCAGCTTGGCAAACTAGTTCATCACAACTGGGTGGGCCCTGTGCGCAAGTCCCATGGGCCAATAGTTCTGGTATGCGTTCTTGTCTCTCAGAGAGACAAGGTTTTCTCCCTGTAAAAGAAACTGGAACCAAATCTGGAACAGAAAAACTGGAACCCAAAATTTCTCAGGAACAAAGGAAACTGGATTCACAGGATGCTCAGGAACCGAAGAATCTGGAACTACTGGAAACTCAGAGACAGCAGGAGCTGGAGAATCAGGAACAGAAGACTCAGGATACTTAGGAACCGAAGAACCTGGAAACACAGGAACAGCTGGAGCTGGAGAATCAGGAACAGCTGGAAACTCAGGGACATTAGCAGGAGCTGAAGAATCAGGAACATCTGGAAACTCAGGAACAGCTGGAGCTGGCAACTCAGGAACAACAGCAGGGGCAGAAGACTCAGGAACCGCAGGTTCTGGAACCACCGATGGAGCATTGAAGATGGCTGCTACTGTTGTCATCAGGGTAGTGAGGACTTCATGTATGGGTGTGGGTGTCTTTGATGACATAGAGTCTATGATTTTGCGGGATGCACCAATCATGTGCTCCCACGCTTCGCTTATACACGCTTCGCCCATGTGAGATGCATGGGGAAGGCAATTTTTGGCCTTCAGACATTTGTCAATCACTGGGTCATGGCAAATATCTTCAATAGTCTGTAGGTCCTTGCAGGCTCCTACAAGGTTAATTCTTGGAATGCTAAGACAAGTGATCAAGACAATCAAAACTATGCCTAATCTCAGGTGCTTCCGCTTAGCAAGGGGTTTGAAGCGGATTGGTTGAAGTTTACTGGGTGCCTGAGGTTGAAGGTTGGTATGTTGATCTGGAGCTGGAAGCATATAGCGTTGTGGTCTCTGTGGCAACTGGTTATTTGGACCAGCCAAGAACTCAGAACTTTCTAGCCAGATCAATTCTGTTAACTGTGTGGCGAGGTTGGGCCACTTAATTTGGTTCACAAAGTTCTTATCTATTGGCACATGTTGCCATTGTTCAGGGTTAAAAGATGTTTCAATCCTTTTCACTCTGTTGCCTACAGATGTAGAAATGTCTGCTTTGCTTGCAGATGTAGCTTGACATCACCTTGCTGTCTGCATAGAAGGTGATAGACTGTAGTTCAAGGCACAAGGTCTTCGCTGTCAAGTTGGTGAGCTTCACAGCCAAAGTGGTACTACATAGTTCTAACTTTGGTATGGTGTGGCCTTCTTGTATTGTTAGTCTCACTTTTCCAAGAAAGACACCGAGATTGCAGCTCTCCCCGCTGCAGACTCTGATGTATCCTATGGTTGCAATCAAGACGACATAAGTGTGGCTCTCCCCGCTGCAGACTGTGACACATCTTAAGGCTGCATTTGCCTTCGTTGACACATCTAAGGAAGCATACAATTCTTTCTTTTGCACTGTGGCGGGTGAGCTGGAGACATACGTCCGCTGCACTTGCATACTCTGGAGACATCTTGAAAGTATACTCCATGACTCCCAGTCTTGTTTCTGTTCTGGCAGACGCAGCTTGTCCCAGTGTGTGGTGTTCAGGGAGAACGCGCGTAGCGGCAGACGTTGTTTGTCCTCTATGGACAAAGCTAAGTTGTTG